GTATCCCTAAGGCCTTGCTGCTGCTGTTACAGCTTTCAGCTTCCCTAGAGAACCTTCCGTCTAGTGGGCAAGAAGTAAGATCTTAACCAGCCCTGTCCAGATGCCTAAGATTCTGAATGAGCAGTTAGCAGTGAGGTTCATTCACGAGGATCAAGTCTGAAAAAGGTGCATAATTTACTGATACAGGGGAGAAGAAAACCTTCCTAGACTCATTGGACAAGAAAAGAGATCTGCCCAACAGTCCTGAAACGGGGAAAATCAGTGTGATCAGAGGCCATTCAGGGGCTCCACAGAGCTTACCTAGAGGCCGAGGCAGGGACAGGGACAGCTGCAGACCTGCCAGGCAGTCTGGAAACAGTAGTGACAGCTGACCCAAGCCTTTGAAATAATCTGATTTCTACACACCTCTTGCAGCAGGAATCAAAGCACAGGACCTACACGCTCACAAGACGGAACCCTGACTCTCTCTTGTTCTTTCCCTTTACACTCTGTCCTGAATTTCTCCTCTAGGAGGAAGTGCCCAGACAGGAGGAGGTTTTCATTATATGACTTCATCAAACATAGTGCAATGTCGAGTTCCTCACCATTCAAGATGCGATTAGTTCATCTGGACCTGAAAGGTGCTCCACCAAAGGTCTCCTACCTCTCGGAGGTAAGGGCTCCTTTTTTTCTCTAGAGAATCAATCACCTTCGCCTTGGGTTTGGTTTTTGAACAATGTTCTGTAAAAATGTGTGCTTAGAACACAACAGTGGGTTCTGGGTTGGGGCTCGGTGGTGACAGCAGCATAGATGTTGAATTTCTTCCAAATCCGCTTTCAAAATAGACAGCAACCAGGAGAGCAAAAGGAAAAACAGAGAAGACAAAGAAACCACAGCCTCTTTGTTGTGAGCTGAATCCTGTCTCACGGACAGTTTTTCTTAATTCTTAACCCCTCGGACTTGTGAATGTGACCTGATTTACCGATTGGGTCTTTGCAAGTGTTATCAACACAGGAGTAGGCGCCCTAATGCAAGAGTAGTGTCTACATAAGGAAACAGACAGTGATGTGAGACATGGGGGTGGGTGGCAGGGCAAGTGGGGCAGAGGCAGATTGGAAGCCCAAGGAGGAGGGCCAAGGGTGCTGGCATCTACCAGAAGCTGGAAGCAGCAGGAAGGATTCCCCCGACAGCCTTCTGAGAGAGCACGGCCCTGCTAACACCTAGATTTGGGACTTCTGCCTCCAGAACTGTGGCAGAATAAACTCTTATCGTTTGAAGCCACCCGGATTGTGGTGATCAGTTCCAGCAGCTGTAGGAAACTCATGTACTCTAAAACAAATGTAGGTAACGGGATGCCCCCACGAGTTCCAAAATGCAAGGGGATGGGGCCAAACCACAGACAGTATAACACTCATGTGGGGCCAGCAGCCGGAGAGAGGTGGTGGAGGCAAGAGAAAGAGGAATTTCGATGCTGTCATGACTGGAGGACCCAGAAAATAGCCCCACGGTAAGGGTCTGTCGAGATAAACTGGGGAAAGGCTTCACTGGCTCCAGGTCGAGGGCAAGTGCAGAAAGACTCAAAGGAGGGAGCTGGAGGCCCAAGGCCTCAGGGCTTGAAGAGATAAAAGTGTGTTAGGCAGAGAGGACCCAGCTTCCTTGTAACTGGAATCCCTGTTCCGTTACCTGCTGTGCTGATGGACCCCGAGACTTAGAGGTTCAGACAACAATGTTTACTCCTCCGTTCCCATGGGTTGGCTCGGTGGCTCTGGTCTGCCTTGGGCTCCCTGGGGGCTGCAGCCCCATGATGGTCCCAGGTGGCTTCAGCCCCACATCCGGCATCAGTGCTGACGGTCGGCTGGACACCATGGCCCTTCTCCACAGGGGTCTCGTCCTCTCGGAGGCCAGGTCACCAGGCAGTGCTTCGAGAGCCGGGGGCCAGACCTGCTAGCCTCCCGGGGGCCTGGAGTTGTTCCTGGTAAGAGGAGTCCACGGTCAGCCTAGATTCAAGGCTCAGGTAGATGCACAGTGTTGTGGCCATGTCTTCCGTGTCCAGCAGCCCTCCAGAGCGGAGACGCCACAGCTCAGAACACTGCACCGAGATCGAAGGATACCTGCACCTGCGTGTTGACTGGGCATACCCCGTGCCTGGAGGATTTACCTGCAGCGACTTACACCAGGGAATCGCTCAGTAAACGTACCGGACTTCAGAGAAAATGAACGTGAGAAAGCCTTTGGGCACACGAGCAGCCCAGGTCATGTGCGGGGAGAGAGTCAGGTTGCATCAGATGGTTTTTTTCAGGCAAGAGGGTAGGATCTACGGTGGTCGTGAGTAAGGAGAGGGGACAGTGCCAAGGCTCTTGGGAGTCCAGGGGCCACGACTCAGGATATATCCGACCCCACAGCCATCCGGGATGAGCTGCTTTTCTGCCACCACGTCTTCACGTTCATCTGCATTAAACTTGGTATGTCCCCACTTCCTGGAGCTCTGGGTCTAGGGAGAGGCAGGAAGAGCTGAGTCAGGAGGCCTGGGCATTGGGGCAAGGGAAGGCAAGCCCAAGGCTGCAGCACACTGACCTTGTGGCGGCCAGGGAACCTGAACTTGGCCCCGCATAGGGCCTCCATCACATGCTGCCTGTTCCGCAGCTGGTCCGGGTGGATGTGAGGCCTGGCCACCGTGCCCCGGGACTTTCCAGAGGCACCCGTGTACCTGTCTGGAGCCTAGACTGGGGACAGCATGAGGTCAGACATGAATGTCCACTGTGAAGGGCCGTGTCCGGGTACCTTAGGGTGGCCCATGCAGGTAGCAGGCTGCACATACCACCATGGAGGCTGCTGTTTGCAGACACTGCGCTCCAGGCCCCACGGAGAAAAGAGCATGGTGGGCTTAACTGGCTGCAAAGGATCAGATATTGTGACAGAAGATAAGGGTCAGGGTCAGGGTTAGGGTCGGGAGATGTATTTAAAATACTCAGAAAAATAATGAATCAAGGATTTTGTATCCAGCCAAACTGACCTCTAGGTATAAAGGCCACAGACCAACTATTACAAACATCCAAGAACCAAGCCAGCTTTCTGGGGAATAAGCTTCAGCTGCAGCATCAGGACAGGCGAAATCAAGTGACTGCAGGGAGGAAGTCCTGTCAGGAGTTCCAGCTGGAGACACAGGAGGGGCGACGGCACTGGACGGTCTCCACCTGGCGACTCTTTGGCGCTGGCTGGGTAACAGTGGTCAGCGGTTGTAAAACCACTAGGGTCCAGGGTGGATCTGACTGAGGCCCCCTGAACCCACTGGTCAGCCCAACATCACTCCAGTGGGACAGCCAGACTTGAGTCTTCTAGAACCACCTGTGAGATATTGCCAAAAAAGGAAGCCAGACCCTTAGCACGCCTCCATCTCTGACCGCCTGCGTGCACAAGAATGGCAGGCACACGGAGGGCTGTCTTGAGAATACTGCCCAGCAAAGCCACAGTTTGGGAACCTGTACAAAACAAATCACTTGGATTTATCAACAAACACATTGGGAAAAAAAAAGCACAGCGGTTGTTGAAAATCAAAAGACCCTTAAAAAGATCCATTCCGAAAAATGCAGCTTTGGACCTTGTCTGGATCGGGTTCAAACAAGCCGCCTGTGGAAAGATTCCACTGACAGGAAGATCTGGACCTGAGCGACACCAGGGAATTACTTGTCTGGGTGTCAGAGTGCTGTTGTGGTCGTGCCCTGTTTTGGTAAGTCTTCATCAGAGATAAACAGGTGACCCTTGAACAACGTGGGAGTTAGGGGCTCTGACCCTCCACGCAGTCGAAATTGCCTGCAACCTGGAGCTGGTCCTCCGTAGCACAATTTGTCCACATCCACTGTTCCACAGCCACGGATCCAACCAGCCGCGGACCGTGCAGCACTGTAGTGCCTGTTCAGTGACAGAAGTCCGCGTATGGGTGGACTCATGAAGTTCAAACTTGTGTTGTTCAAGGGCCAACTGTGTACTGAACTGTTCATAGGTGAAAAAATACACTGTCTGAGATTTGCTTTAAAACGTTCCATTCGCAGAGGAAAAGTGGAAATTAGGTGAAATGAAATTGGCACAGTGTTGAACCTGAATGCTGGAGGCGTGAGGGCTCGTGGTATAGCACTCCTGCATTTGTGCATTCGATAAAAACCTCCTCCGCCCCAGTCCAGTGCCTGGATGCAGGAGAGGGACGTGTATCGGTGACTCTCGGGCAGCTGGGACTCCCAGGTCCCTCCGGCTGAGCTTAGCAGCCTCTCAACCACCCATAGCACAAGCCCCCCCACAACAAACATCAAGGAGGCCGCCCTGTGGGCAGATGGCCCAGCGGCTGCGAGGGAAACAGAAGCAGAAACGCTGGGAAAAGTGTGAAAATGCTGTAACCGGCGTGTCTCATCTGTGCACACATCCAGCCTGCGTCAGTGACTCCTTCCACGCTCCGTCCTTCTTGTAGTTTTCAGTCAGTGTTGCTCACCCATTTCGTGAATTGCCAGCTGATCTCCCTGTCCACCCAGCATGGTTCAGAACGTCCCGCGTTCTTGGGGAGAGAAAGCTGAGACGGGGCAAAATCAACGAGGGCGCTGCGGTCATGCCAAGTCCACCACCGCCCTTGTCTGGAGGTGGCTGTGCTATTCTAAGTGTCTGCCGGGCGTCCCCTCCCTCAGTGCCACCCTGAACTTGGCGCCAGGCTGGAAGACAATCTCAGGGCTGTGCGCAGTAGTGTGAACTAGTTCTGAAAATCCTGGAGAACAGGAATTCATGTCCTGTGAAGTAAAGGCAGAGAGAGAGGTGGGAGAACCGGGGAGGCCCCTGAGCCAGCAGGACCGCCTGTTTGCTCCCGCATCTCCCTCCTCTGTGGCTCCTCCCAGGCGCTCACCTCCAACTCTTCAGGCCCCCGAGGCCCCCGCAGCCCAGCCCCCAGCTCCCTGTGCTCTAGAAGCTCCCCCACCCCCCCATGCTGCTCTCCTTGACGACGAGCCGTCTGTCCCTGCCCAGCCCGGCCACCAGGCAGCTGCGGCTCCGCAGCGCACTGTCTCCCTGCCCCTGCCGTGTCAAGTGAACACGTCACCGCGGTAGAGTTTGACTTGGTGTAACTCAGAGTTCACGTTCCAGGTGACGAGTTTCCAGGGAAATACGGAGCTCTGCAGTCCCGGTCCACAAGCTGGAAGTCTGTGGCAGCACGTGTGTCACTCCCCGTCCACGTCACTTCTTCACGGCATCCCCATCTCTCCCCAGATTTTCCCCCTGTTCCGGGCCCTGGGTGCAGACGGCCTCCTCATCGAATATGAAGACATGTTTCCCTACGAGGGCCCCCTGAGGTTGCTGCGGGCCGAGCACGCGTACAGGTACCCCGGCCACCTTGGCGGAGCCGGAGGGGTTTGCGGGGGGTGGGGGGGCAGGCAAGAGCTGAACCCAGGACACCCTCTCCGGTGTCGTCAAATGCACATCTTTAATCATCAGAGTAAAGCAACTTCACTGAAGGAATTTGGAACCATTTAAAAGAGAAAGAAAACGGAGGGGAGGGTGCAGCTCGGGGGTGGAGCGTGTGCTTAGCAGGCACGAGGTCCGAGGTCCTTGGTTCCATCCCCAGCACCTCAGTTAAAATAAATAAATAAACCTACTTACTTCCCGTCCTCCAAAAAAACAAAACAATAATAAATTAAAGAAACAGAAGAGAAGGGTCAGCTCTGGTTCCCCTCAAGGAAGCGCAGTGACCCGTGCATCAGTCTCGTCTTTTGGTACGAAGTGTGTACAGAACACAGCCAGGGTCCCCGCGGCGGAAGGAGGACTGCTCTTTAAGATCACGAGCGGGTCTTCATCAGGGAAGTGGAGAGTGGAGGGGAGTGGAGGGGGTCAGTGAGGTCAGGGTGGTCACCGGTGCACCCTGCCTGGCCTTAAAGTGATGGATGTCTCTATAAATCAACAACAAATAGCCCGAAAGGAAAATGGGCAAAGAACATCTGATCCCAGAAAAGAAAGAAAAGTGGCCAATAATCCTATGATAGTAATAAATAAAACAATGAAGTGCCATTCTGGCCACCAAACTGTGAAGCCTTTAGAAAAATTATAACGTTCCATGCCCACGAGGGTGAGAAAAGGCAACCCTCTTGCTGGTGGCCTGGGGGGCGGTTTGACTCCGCGAGTGTGCGTGTGCACACGTGTGTTGTGCGTGTGTGGACGGGAAACGGGAATGGTGTGCACCAGAGCCGAGATGCTGTGAGGTTGCCCGAGGTGTTGGTGTTTCTCCCTACAGTGAACAGGATTTGTTCCTTTGTTCCTTTAAGTGGCAAAGGTGGCAGGGTTCTGGTGAAGTTAGAAAAAAGGTATATTTAAAGACAGAATTCTATGTTGCTGATACATTTATAGAACTGGTTAACTGTAGAGATGGTTCAAACACGTACAGAAACTGAGATAAATTCACAAATGACAACTCACGATGGAGCGGGCAGGGGCCCTTCTGGGGTGGCGTCCTCACTGGCCTTGGCGGGGAACGCCGGCCTGGAGGGCCCGCAGGTGCGCCACCAGCCACTTCCTCACAAGGGCTCACCCACCTGCAGGAGGGGAGCTGATGCCCAGCTCTTGAGCGTCTTCCGTCTCTCCTCTGTTAAAGGGCCGCCAGCTTTTCCTGGAAAGGGCCAGACGGTAGGCACTTCAGGCCGCGCGGCCCGCCTGGTCTGTGTTAGCACTGGGGTCGGGGGAGCAGTCACAGGAGACGTGACGAGTGGCCGCGGCTGTCTCCCAATAAAGCCCTATTTGTGGATACTGAAGTGTGGATTCCATACAGTTTTCACACGTCACAAAATACTGCTTTTTAAATTTTTCTCAACAGTTTTAAAATGTAGAAACCATTCTTACATCATGGGCTGTACAGAGACAGGCGGTGACTTTGCTCTCAGGGCTGCCGCCCGCCCCCGCCCTAGAATATGATCCCTTGTGTGGCCCAGTTCCCTATAAAAGGACTTTAGCCTCTTGCAGAGTTTGGGACAGAATAGCTGGTAAAAAGCAAGCTCTGAATTGGCGACATAGCAGAGCACCAACCTCCTGAATTCTAGGACGGGAGTCTTCCCTGAAAACCTGAGGGTATCTTTGGGCTGTTCAGAGTTAGTGCCCTGCTAGTTTCCTCTGTGGAGTCCCCAGGGAGGCTGGCCAGGACGGGCCTGGGGACGTGAAAAGGAGCTGGCATGGTCTTTGTCTCCCAGCCCCTCGGAACTCAGAGAGATCCTGCGCCTGGCCGCGCTGAACGAGCTGGAGGTCGTCCCCTTGGTGCAGACGTTCGGACACATGGAGGTGAGTTGGAGGAACACAAGCCACCTGGTGCCGCGGCGAGGGGTTTGGGGTGCACCGGGGGTGCTGCTCAGCGCTGCAGAGAGGGGCTCTGCCCTGGGGACTGCAGGAGCATGGAGCTCCAGGTCACAGCCCCCTCGGTCCAGGGGGCGGTAAGAGCTGGGGTGCCCCGGGCGCCCTGCATGGGGGCAGCTTTCCTTTATAACGTGTATCCATCAAAATATTCCTGTGTGAGGTGAAACACAGCATTAAGAACACGTGCCTTCTGTCTTCTCTGTCTGCATCCTTTCTGACCTAACACTGAAAAAACCTTTCTGAGCTTCTACGTGATCTTCAAAACGTTTCATGTCTGCCTCAAACAAGAAGCAGATTAAACCTCGTGTTGATTTACTGTCTGCCAGGTTCCGTTTTCCCTCCAGCAGCTACGCCAGCAGGTCTAGGCCGTCCTCCCCCTTCGTCTTCCCTCCAGCCACTCGCACCTTCTGTGCGTCGCCCCCTGATCTGGGACCCCTCCCACAGTCAACCCTCCAGCGTCCTGGTCACTCCCTGCTGTGCTCTCTGGGCTCCTGTCCTGACTCACCCTTGTCACTTGCCACCCTGGAGGAGGCGACCACATTCCCCTGGGGGTCTCTTCCGAGGCCACCAGAGTCCTCCGGGTCACTAAATCTGTGGTAGGTTTCAGTGTGCCCTTACTTGACTCTGGGCTCTTGGCATCACCGACAGCCCCCGTGGTCCCCGCTTCTGGGGATGCCCCAGCGTCTGCCTCGGACTGGGTGTCCGTGGTTCCTCCTGAGGACCCTCCCTCGCTTCACATTCTTCTCTGGACAGAGCCCCTCCCTCCTGCTTCCCTACGCTGTCCTCAGGCTTCCAGGAACCCCATCTCTCGTGCAGACCCTGGGCTCCAGTCCCTCATCTCCTCCTCCTCCTCCTCAGGGAGGGGCTGCGGCGCCCCAACCCCCCACCCACTGCCCTTCCCGTCCCTGTCAAGTCCTGCCTTCGCTCCTCCATCTCCCGCATCAGCAGCCCCTCTGTCCCGCTGTCACCGTCCTTGTGTGAGCCCCTGCCTGACCTACTGGGAAGCCCTCCCCCGGGGCTCCCAGCATCGCTCCATCTCCCAAGCCCTCCCCTGCCCAGGCACAGCCCGGCTGCACCAGGCTCTCCCGCTGCTGAGGCAGCTGTCTGCTCTTAGGGTGGGTCAGAGGACAACCGCCCAGGCAGCTTAAACCACAGAAGTGTGTTCTCTCATGGTCTGCAGGACAGAAGTCCAGAGTCAAGGTGTCAGCAGGGCCAGTCCTTCTGGAAGGGACTCGTGTGTTCACCTGGGCCGGCGCCTGGTCCTCTTGAGCAGTGAAGCGCTGTCTGAGTGTTCTGCCTGTTTCGCTTTCTGAAATGTCATGTGTTTTAAGCGATTTATGCATTCTGGATACAGGTCTTTTGTTAGATATGTGACTTGCAAATATTTTCTCCCAGTCTTCAGTTTGGCTTTTCATTCTCCTAACGTTGCATTTCAAAGAGCAGAAGCCTTGAACGGGATGAACTCCTGTGTGTCAGTCGTCTTTGACGAATCACGCCTTTGACGGCATTCCTAAGCTCCTTGCCGATCGCCAGGCCAGGGCCTTTCCCGTTCTCCTCTGACGTCTCACACCTGCACGTTTTCTGTTCAGCCTGTCAGTCCGTTTGGGCTTTTGGCTTGAGGTGGGGTTTCAGTTTCATTTTTCTTGCACATGGTGTGGAACCACTTGACCAGTGGGGCCAAAACCAGTTGTGGAAAAGACCATCCTTTCTTTGGAATTTGGAGTCGCCTTTGCACCTTTGTCAAAAACCTACTGAGCGCATTTGTGAGAATGTTCTAGACCCTGTCCTGCTCCGTGGAGCTGTGCGCTGTACCTTTGCCAATGGACCCCACGTTGTCTGGGTTAGTGTGGCTTCACTGTGAGTCTTCAGCCCAGGGAGTGAGAGCCCCCAAACCTCTTCTTTTCCAGAATTCTCTTGGTTACTTCGGTCCCTCTGACTCTTCACATATAGTTTCGAATCACTTTGCATATCTATGAGAAAGCTTGCTGGGAGTTTGGGATTTTGTGAAATCGGTTGGTTTGAGGGGAAATTGCCTCTGCCATGTGGAGCCTTCCAGGCCGTGAATGAGTCGTGTCCGCTGTTGACTGTGTCCTCGGCGGCCGGCTCACGGCGCGTCCGGGTTTGGGTGTCTTTGCCTTTGTTCTGTGGGGTGTGATGAGCTTCTCCACTTTGGGGAGGTTTGGCGCCATTTCCTCGCATTTTCTGTCCCCATCTCTCCTCCCGGGACTCCCTCTGCCCGTGTGCTGGTGGCTCCGTGTCGCCCCGGCGTCTCCGAAGCTCAGTTCCGCAGATGGAGTCATTTCTATTGACTTTTCGTGCCAGTCGCTGCCTCTCCTCTGACCTTTCAGATCTGCTGCTGAGCCAGTGAGCGGACTTTTCATTTCCCTCCTTGTAAACAGTTTCCTTTAATTCCAGGGACATGTTCATAGTAGTTTCTTTGAAACAATTGTCTGATAAATCCAATGCCTGGGACTACCTAGCATCAGGTTCTACAGGCATCTCTTTTCTTTGGGTCTGGATCCCACCTCCCAGTTTATTTACACGTCTCAGAATTTTTGGTTGAAAACTGAATGTGTCAGACCCTGGGTTAAAGCAAATCTGACTGGTTCCCAGGTTCCACTGCAGGGTCTGTCTCCCCAGCTGTGTGCGGCCACTCATGCCTCTCTTGGCTCCTTGTTCTTACGTTTGTTTTGAGCCTGGTACCCGGGGGTGGCCGCCAGGGCTCGCCGTGCCTGAGCCGTGGGGCCCCCCCTCGTGCCGCAGGG